CATGACGAAGGGCTGTTGGTGAGAGGAGCGGTTGGGTGAGTGAGCGAGGCCCGAGGGCGGCAGCATACGTGGAGGACGTCTTGGTGGTGGTATGATGATGTGGTGTGGTGTGGAGAGGCAGTGAGGGGGCAGAGAGGGGTACGTGGAGTTATCCCCGTGCGGCATGCAGCGCAGGAAACTCGTCGGAGGGGGAGGGGGAGGGGGCGGGGGAGGGGGGGGCAGGATTGACCGCTTAGTTAGGCAAATACCGCAGGCACAGCCCCCAAAGGCCTGTGTGTAATGGCCCAATGCCCGATTTAGCTTTTGGACACCGGATCCATAGGTGGCCGCCATGGAACTTCCGTTGTTTGCGCATCTCAACGGAGCGCCAAGGTGCCGGCACAATGCGAGCCTTCATCTGCAAGCAAAGGATGAAGCAATGTAAAAATTATCACGGAGCGGACGTTGTCGACCCCAAAAGCATGCGGTAATGAACTATCGGCGCATTTCGTAATAAGCTTGCCGGCAATATTTTTTGGGCGGGGCCCCAGCGCGAAGCGCCCAGGGGGGCCCCGACCTGTAGGATTGCCCATGTCCGTGTGTGTGTGTGTGTGTGTGTGTGTGTGTGTGTGTGTGTGTGTAACGGACCAAACATAATATCTCGCCCGCCTGAAACTCGTTATAGGTACTATACAGCATTCTCTATTGCAAGGTATCTCGCATGTAGCCAACAAAAATCGTATGAGCACAAACAAGTTTGGCTGCCTCAATTGACCGAGGCCAAAGTCACATCAACGCCTCTCGCGCTAAATTTCATCTCAAAAGGTACCGCGTATCTCATATTTGAATTCTTAGATGACGGCGTATGATAACTCGAACTCCCAGGCCTTGAGTGTGTAACGGACCAAACAGAATATTTCACCCGGCTGAAACGCGTTATCGGTACTATACAGCATTCTCTATTGCAAGGTATCTCGCATGTAGCTAACAAAGACCGTATGAGCACAAACAAGTTTAGCTGCCTCCATTCACCGACCTCAAAAGCCACATCGACGCCTCTCGCGCTAAATTTCATCCCAAAAGCTGCCGCGTATCTCACAATGGAATTCTGAGATGACGGCGTATGATAACTTGAACACCCAGCTTGTGTTACCATTTGCCGGCATGGGCAATCCGACTTGCCACCAGCAGGCCAACATAATTTGCTTTCATTTCTCTATGAAATACACAAGCTCCTTGTTTGTACATTTACTTTGGCCAATGCACGGGGCCTCCGGAGACTTGCGGTGTGCCCCGATGAAGCTCGCGGCTGTGGGGCGGATTGCTGAGGCCGCTGGCGCATCGGGGATAAACATCACAGACAGCACCGAAATTCACCCAGCTTTCGTTACCATTTGCCCGCATGGGCATTCCGACTTGCGGTCTGCCGCACTGTCCATGCGGCATGCACCCGGGATGGATGCGATTCGCGTGGAGCCCGCAGGCGGTGCTGACGATTCCGCCGGTGCAAGCTTAGCTCCCACACCATCAGCACTGCTGCAACAAAGCACATCTCCCACAGCGGTGACACTACCCATCAATTGTCACACGTGCCGCGCTAGCTACCGGCCTGTACGGATGCAGGGGGGGCCCGCCCTTTTTCCGGCTTCGAGGAAGCCGACACCCGACTTGTCCACCAAGGTTGACCCACCTGCACATTAAAACCGCCCCAAGAGCAATGCTTCAGATCATTCTGGGTTGACCCGTAGTCGCTCGCAGTCTCTGGTGAAGCTCGCCGTGTGCAGTCCCAGTTGTCACAGTCTCGCGCAGCTGAGCTCGGCTTAAGTGGTATGTAGTCCGCCTTCTACATCAACACATTGTAAAGAACTTTGACAGTTTACACGACGGATCGCCTTGTCGCGCAAGCATAGGTAGGACAGGTTTTAACACAGATTCGGGTTAGGGTTTACCCAAAACCCTACAGAATCTAAGTACCAGGGTCTGATTTTTTGGATAAAGTGAGCATCTGAAAGGCTTTATGTTAAGAATGCAGGCGTACGAGCAAAGGAAAATTGGACAAACCAGGGAACTGGAACCTGTCGGGCCACCAGGGAACTGGAACTTATCGGCCATCGCGTTGCAAGCAATAGGAAATATCTTTTCTACCACAGGGCTAGAAAGTACAGCAAGGCCAGAATGCGCTAGGAAAATGGTGTAAAACCCCGTGCGTTCTTATCAGGAATTCATGCACAAGCGAGATAATTATTAAACTAGATTGTAAGAACCGAATGTAGGCATACAGAAATGTAAAGCAAAGGCGCAGGAAGGTTGACACCCGACTGTCGGATGTCACATCGTAAAGTGGCTGGAGAAGTAACCCGCGGGTATTCAATTGGAACACATGTAAACCATAATGAAGAATAGCACTGTTGTAAAGTGCTCTAAGGTACACTCAGGCTTGACACTTCGGTAGTTTGGCTAGTTGCTTTTATCTCAATACGACATCGAATCAGGATTGGCTGCGGTATGCTTATATACTGCTTGCGTCTTCATTATATATATATCTCCTTGTGTAACGATATGAGCGAGTGATGTGTTCACTGAAGGACTCTTATTTCTAACAGGTTATGAGCCCCGTGCGACGATGCAAGGTGTTTAACCTCTCCTTGAGGAAGCGCCGCGTTGATAAAGCCTTATTCCTCTCGGTCACTGCCTGCTCAAGCACGATGTACATCCCGTTCTCCTCGAACACATCGACAGCGGGATTCCGTCTATTGCTATGTGTGGGTGATCAGTGGACAGGATGACCTCTACCTCCTTATCCGGGAAGGCTCTCTTTAAGGCTTTGACCGAAAACAGGCGGTGTTGCAGGTCCGGAACTACGTGGACAGATACCGACAATTCCGTCCATCCTCGAATAGAGGTGAAGAGCGCCCTGCCCTCGCCAATCGAGCTAACCGTCCGCCCATCCGCCACCTCAAAAACAACACCCTCGCCCTCGCGCACCGGCGTCAAATCCTCAGCGTCCTCAGGCATGAAGGTCAGTTGGTCCTCAGCTCCAGTGTCAAGGAGCCATTCACCAGGTGCCAGTCTCGTTCCCCCAAGCGTGTTGATGACTCCAACTAGTCGCCGCCGTATGCCCTGGGCCTGCAGCTGCATTTGCTGTTGTTGTTGTCGTTGACACATGTAAGGCTGGGGAGGTGGTGGAGGCGGCGGCGGCGGCGGCGGCGGCGGCGGTGGCGGTGGGTAGGCCTGCTTAAGCTTCGGACACTTCGTGACCAAATGGCCCTGCTCCTTGCAGTAGAAACACTTTCGGTTGTCCTTCCTCTTATGTGGCGCCTGCCATGCGACGTTGTAAGCTCCTTTTATGGGCGACTTCTTGGTCTCCGTCTCTATCTTCTGTTCCTCGACGAGTAGTCGCATCTCCAGCTTCTCTACGTCGTCTACATCGGTTGCATTTTCTATCACCGTGCGGATCATCGCATACGCGTCAGGCAGACCTCTCAAGACGTGGCCCACTGCCTCGTCGTCCGCCAAGCTAAGATCGATTGCCGCAAACTCAAGTCGAAGCACTTGAAACCTGGCGATATAGTCGCTGACGGTCTCGTTCGCTTCCATATTGAAGTGAGTTAACCGTTGCACTAGCAGGCTCTTCGCAGCCCGCGTCTGTTGGCCATACTTCGCCGCCAAGGCAAGCCACAGGTCGTACGCCTTTGCGTGACGCGCGTACAGAGGCTTCTCCAGGACGCGGATGAATTCCTTAATGACGCCCAAAGCCCGTTGATCCTGCTCGTCAGTTACTACGTCGCGTGTAGCCTGCACAGGGCTGATCGCGTTTGCTAATCCCTTACGTTGAAGGACGCCGATGATGGTGCTCTTTTCTGCTGTGTGCGGACTTAGCGTTAGGCAAGGATGAAAGTAGACAAGGAAGATTTTA